AGTGAGTGGCTGCAGTACAGGCATTTAACCACTGCGCCACCAGGTCTGATGGCATGGCAGATTCACCAAATGCAGGTGGAACATCCCAGTTCCAGAGGTAGGAATAGTTATATTAGAATAAAATGCTGGGATAAGGAAGAAAGGAGGTAAGAGCAATGCAGATCTTAGCATGTATTAGTCTCAACTACCAGCCTTTAGCACCTGGCTCAAAATGCAGTCTCATTAAAAAATAAAGTGCTGAGGATACCGTGGACAGCAAAAAGAACACATAAGGAATGTGTATGCGCTCGGACCAGCTCCTTGCCATGGCCTGGTTCTCCCAAGGAAAACCGAGCTCTAGCAAGTAGGGGCACCCCCCCAACTGGGTGTCACCCCCCTCTGGGGTGTCACCCAGTATGGTTCGCACCCCCCCCCCCCCAGTGATGCTACTGGTAGGAAGGCTTGGAGATGTCTCATCCACATGGTCTCCATGAGTTGAGATCGATTGGAGGGTGGCTAACAACAACAACAGCAACAAATGCATAGAAATACAAAATATGTGGGTATGGTGATGAGGTGACAAGTTCAGTTTTAACTATGGCAGGGGTAGGCAACCTTTTTGAGCCGGGGGCCGGGTTGCTGTCCCTCAGACAATTGGGGGGCCGAAGCACCAAAAATAAACAAACAAACAAATAAATGAATAAAATTAAAAATTAAAAATTAAAAATTAAAATAATAATAATAAAAGTATGCATGCACACTCTCTCAGCCCCAGAAAAGCCATGGCAAAACCCCTGTGGAGATTTTGCCAAGAAAACCCCAAGAACAAGTAATAGCAACAATAATCAATATCATCATGGCGGGCGGCGGCGGCGGTGGCGGCAGGACCGGCCTGAGGCTGGTCCAAAGGCCTCGGGGGGCTGCATCCGCCCCCCGGGCCTTAGGTTGCCTACCCCTGAACTATGGTCATTGAGGAACAAAGGCAGGAGGAAAGATGTCACTTAAGGCCAGGGTGGGTGGGTGGCCATATGAATGGTGGAGGGAGTTTTAGAATGTGGTTTGTGTAGGCTGGGAATCAGAAAAGAGATATGATAAAGTGGCAAAGAATGTCCTTTGAGGGTGGGGTGTTAACCAGTGTTATAATATGTATAATGTGCCTCATACCCACAAGGTTTGCATTTCTATGACTATTCATACAGTCTGATCATAAAGCTCCTTCCTAGGCATCAGTTTACTCCATGCATCTGAGGAAGTAGACCAAGTGTCTCAAAGCTTATGTTACAACATCTTTCGCTCAGTTAGGGCCTTTACAGACTGCCAGAAATAATGCAGCTTGAGGCCACTTTAACTGTCCTGGCTCAGTGCTAGGGAATCATGGGAACTGTAGTTTTTGGGGGACACTGAGCCTTCTCTATCAGAGAGCTCTGGTGCCACAATAAACTACAGTTCCCATGATTCCTTAGCACTGAGCCAGGACATTTAAAATGGCCTCAAGGTGCATTATTTCTGGCGGTCTGTAAAGGCCCTTAGTTTCAAAGGTGCTACAATATCCCTTTGTATACTGATATTCCAGACCAACATAGCTGTGTCTCTGCATTGAAAGTTATAGAGTTATGGGTTACTCTTCTGCATGTTGTTATATAGATTAATTCTTCTTAAAAATAAATTGCTGAGCTCTCACTGATTTGACAACAGTTTTCAAGGATTTTAGACAAGGATTTTTCTCATACCTACCTGGAGATATTGGGGAAACTCAACACTGGCACATCTGCATGCAAAGTGTGAACTTTGTCTCTGACTTACAGTCCTTTCCTTAGTAAGCTCATGAACATGAATTACAAAGAGAATAGCTGGAATCCTATTGTGCCTTAGGCGTCTATAGGTTTCCTTGTGGAAGTGGTGGGATATTTTTGCATAATGCAAAAAATGTCTGTATTCAATCCCAAGTTGTGCATGCTGTTGTGCATGTGGTTGAATGTTCAGTTGCTTATATACATATGAAAGCATGTTTAGTTGTGTACTTTGTTGGGCAATTCTTTACTAGAGTTTGTAGCATCATTAGTATGTCTCAGCAGTGTGGTGTAGTGGTTTGAGCATTAGACCACACTCTAGAGATCAGGGTTTGAATTCCTACTCAGCTATGGAAACCCACTGGGAGCCCCTAAACAAGCCATACTCTCTCAGCCTCAGAAAACCCCACAATAGGTTCACCTTAGGGTCACCATAATTCAGAAACTACTTAAAGGCACAGAGCAACAATAACAATTTCTACATCAGAGGTGGGCCAATGAAAGGGCTGGAATGTTTCTTTGCTGTAGATGCAGCATCATCTGCTGCATCATTTGCCATTTATAAACCTTATCTTAAGCAGTAACATCACATAATTGGAAGATAAAACAAGGGACAGCCACTCCGACTCTCTGCCATGCAGGAACTCAAAATCAAAGCATCCCTGACAGATGGCCACCCAGCCTCCTTTTAAAGACCTCCAAAGAAGAAGACTCCATCGCACTCTGAGAGAGTGTCTTCCAAGGTTGAACAGCTCTTACTGTCAGGAAGTTCCTCCTAATGTTGAGGTGGAATCTCTTTTCCTGGAGCTTGCATCCATTGTTTCTGGTCCTAGTCTCTGGAGCAGCAGAAAACAAGCTTGTTCCCTCCTCAATATGACATCCCTTCAAATATTTAAAGAGGGCTATCATATCCCCTCTTAACCATCTCTTCACCAGGCTAAACACACCCAGTTCCCTAAGTCGTTCCTCATAGGGCTTCATGGTTTCCAGACCCTTCACCATTTTAGTCGCCCTCCTCTGGACATGCTCCAGTTTCTCCACATCCTTTTTGAATTGTGGTGCCCAGAACTGGACACAGTATTCCAGGTGAGGCCTGACTAAAGCAGAATAGAGTGGCACTATTACTTCCCTTGATCTATCTCTATTGATACAGCCTAAAATCGCATTGGCCTTTTTAGCTGTAGCACCACACTGTTGACTCATGTTCAACTTGTGGTCTACTAGGACTCCTAGATCCCTTTCATACCTGGTCTTGTTCAGCCAGGTGTCCCCCATCGTATATCTATGCATTTCATTCTTTCTGCCTAAGTGCAGTACCTTACATTTCTCTGTGTTGAAATTCATTTTATTAGCATTGGCCCAGCTTTCTAATCTGTTAAGGTCATTTTGAATTTTGATCCTCTCCTTTGGGGTATTAGTTACTCCTCCTAATTTGGTGTCATCTGTATCAGTGGTCAGCACTGAAAAAACTTTTGGGGAGGCCTGGAACTACACCCAGTGTTAGAAAAGAAGAGAATTTTCATACCATTTTCAAGCACCCTCAAAATGTGTTTGGGTGTATGTGGATGTACACACACACACACCCTATAACAGCTGCTTTGACTTGCTTTTGGCTGAAGCCAGTTTGATTTCCAGCCTACAGCCCTGTTTCCCCCACCTGCTATCTTGCCTGTGAAAAAAGTGCAGTCATTTTGCAAGAATCTGTAGAAAATGAAATCCTCTGAAGCATGAAATCTCTCCCTTTTTAGACAGCTATAGCTTTTCCCCAAATTAATCTCTGCTTTTTTTGCAAATTCTTGAATTGTGCCAAAGAACTAATCCAGTTCTTATCAGGTCTTGATCTGTCACTAATTCAAACAGAACTCATAAAAGAGTAATTGAAAATAGGATATGAGACGGGGGAAACTGAGTATGCAGCCAAGATTGTTGTGAAATTGAGCTTGCTTTCCCCCTTTTCAATTAATGAATCAGAAATGAGATGTGTAGTTCCTGCTAACCTTCACGGTAAATGTAACCCTTTTCTTCAAAGCAATATTTTAGACTTATTTTCCTTGGCATAAAGCTTTGCCATTTGGCTCTTTCTGAAACAACCAAGCACCAGAATATAATGTGTAGCTTCAGCCATTGGCCTGGAAAAGGATCAACAAGATCAGATGAAAGATTACTTTAGAAAAGAGCATTAAGGTCTGAATGGGGCTGTTGCATCATTAAAAGCCAGGTCGCTTCCCATTTCTTAAAAGTGCCAACATGGCTAACCTTTTCAGCCATGAGTTCAGGCACAGTTTTAAAAAGCAGCACTGTCAATGTAGTTAAATCTCTATTACAATATCATTATGAACATGTTTTTTAAAAAAATCTAATAATCTCAGAGACAGGGGGGTTATTCTCTTTATTAAGAAGCCATTTCTGATCAAAGCAGGCCATGGAAAAGTTACTTTTTGGACTACACCTCCCAGCACCCTAGAACCAGCTTTACCCCTGAACATGTTGGCTAGACATTTTGAGAGTTATAGTCCAAAAAACCAAACCAAACCAAAAATTGTCCAAGCTTTAAAGTGGCAATTTGGAGTACCTTGAATACAAATGAGTCCCTGTACCAGCAGGATGATGGGATATAAAATAAACAAATAAATAAATAATGATGCTAAGGCATAGGTTGCATTTACACTGCAGAATTAATGCAGTTTATAATAATAATAATAATAATAATAATAATAATAATAATAATAATAATAATAATTTATACCCCGCCCCTCTGAGTACAATCAAGGCAGCTAATAACAATTAAAATTTGTACAATATAAATACAAAAAGATCCGGGACCCTATAATAGTAGCAGCAGTATCCAAAATGGGAGAGGGCAAACTAAGGGAGGTTCCTGAAGCCGGGAAATCTATTCTGGAAAGGTTTGAAAAAACTCTTGGGGAGGCCTGGAACTACACCACTTTGACTGCCATGCCTCCATGCTATGGAATTCTGGGATTTGTAGTTTTGTGAGATATTTAGCCTTTTCTGTCAGAGAGCTCTGGTGCCACAACAAACTACAGATCCCAGGATTCCACAGGATATAGCCATGACAGTAAAAGTGGTGTCAAATTGCATTAATTCTGCAGTGTGGCAGCAACCATAGAGTCCTAACACAATGGAGGTGTTTTGAGGCTGACAGCCAGAGTTACCAGAGTAAAAACTGACAAGAGCTCCTGTCCCTTAAATGGTTGTGCAGAAGAGGGAATTTCAACAGTGTTGTGTATTACTGTAGTGTATATTATTGCATGACAACTTGCTGAAATTCCTTCATCTACATAGCCATGTCAGGAATAGGAGCCATCTCCATTTTTCAGTCTGGCAACCCTACACATGGAACTTACACACTTGCAACAAGTATATTGTGCATTTTGGTTGCCCAATAAAAGTATCATTGTTTGGTGGATTTTTGTTTGAACCCTACACATGGAAGCAGTGGCAGGATAGAAACAACATGCAATGTGCCCTCTCTGTAAATATGAAATGCATGAAGAAAGAGATAAGTATGAAATGCACAACACTAGGCATCACAATCCCCATCCCCAAAAAACCCTTCAGATATTGAGCTGATGTATTATAAATGGACCTGTATACACGTGTATCAATCTAATGTGGAAAAGTAGTGAGAAGGGCTATGGCAGTAAAGAGAACTCTTTCAGATGGTCTCAAAAAACCAAACCATTTTGAAAGCGTTTGGAAGTCGCTCAATTTATTGCAAAGCCAGATGTTCTGTGCCTATGGGCAACATGTGCCCAGGGAAACTGCTTATTTGGGAGAAGCAGCTACAGGTGAGTCAAGCCAGTCCAGGTCATACATGGGTAATCTCAGACGTTTGTGGAAGATGAAGGAAAGTGCAGTGGCAAGGTCTCAAGATGGTCCAGAATTTATTATAAGAAGCCAGTTTTTTGATGCTGTGTTCCTTCAAGTAGTTTCTGACGTACAGCAACCCGACCGTAGGGTTTTCTTGGCAAGTTTCTTCATGGGGGTTTGCCATGGCTCTCTCCTGAGGCTGAGAGAGTGTGACCTGTCTAAGGTCACCCAGTGGGTTTCCATGGCTGAGCCAGGATTTGAACCCTGGTCTTTCAGTGTCCTAGTCCAATGGTCAAACCACTACACCATGCTGGCCCTCATTGTCCAGATAAAAAGACAAACAAATGGGTCCTGGAACAAATCAGGATGACTAAATTAAGGCTGCCATATTTTGGACACACCATGAGAAGGCACGACTCAGTAGAAAAGATGACAAAGCTTGGAAAGACAGAAGGCAGTAGGAAGAGAGGAAGACCACACACCAGATGGACAGACTCAATCGAAGAGGACATGGCCCTACATTTGCAGGAACTGAGCAAGGCTGTTGAGGATAGGGTGTCTTGGGGATGCCTCATTCACAGGGTCACCATAGGTCAAAGTTGATTTCAGGGCAGCTAACAACCACAACAAGAAGTCCGGATAACCAAAACTGAACGGACATCAAATGTTGCCAGTCCAAAGGTAAAGAATCCCAAGGAAGACACAAGATGGAAGCACTGTCAGCTGGAGAGATTGGATGGTGGTGAGCAATGAGGACTCTTGGCAGGTGCTGTGAGATTTCTGTGGCTGAGAAACCATAGAATCATAGGGTTGGAAGAGACCCCCAAGGACCATCCAGTTCAACCCTCTGCCATGCAGGAAGACACAAAGCACACCAGACAGATGGTCATCCAGCCTCTGTTTACAAATCTCCAAAGAAGGGGACTCCACCAATTCTAGTCAGTGCCTGATTGCTCAGCATTTTTTATTCAAGTAGTGTTAACTCCTACAAGACTGACTGGTCTCTTTTTGCCTGACTTCAGAGGATGGAGGCACCTCTTTAGTGTCCATCAAGTCCTGTTGGGGATAGTGCTCTTCCGTTGCATTAGTCACCAGCTTCTCAGCCTCAGGGAGGAAACCTTGATCAGAAGCTTTTTCTGCAGAATTTCTGTGAAGTTCCCTTGAAAAAGCCAAACTCTTCTGAATCACATGTGGCAGGATCACATTCTATTCAAATAGAAAGAGGAGCATTTTATTTGTATTTATTTATTTCATTTTCTATGCTGCCTTTCTCTCAGGAAGGGACCTAAGGTGGCTTACAAGATAAAAAACATCTCAAAAATTTCACAGTAAAATTTTAAAAAACAATATAAAGTTGACATAAAAACATACAAAAGTTACAAGCCGCCTAGTTGTAGTCAACCATCCGAGGAGTAATTCCCCTTGAATTCAGAGCAACATATGTCTGATATGCATAATGAAATGCATTAGCTTGAAAACCCACCCAAGTACACAACAGTGATTTATTTGAATGGGTG